TATAAACTTCACGCGGCTTTGAACTGATGTCTTCTTCGCTATTAAGGCACTCCCGGTAGAAGTCATTGAATGATCAAAATTACATGACGCACGAGCACAGCAAGTGACTTATTAGCGTTATGAACATTTTGTGACGTCATGATGACATATGAGATAATTAACGATATGCAGTAAGATAGGCAGCTTCGCGATAAACTCATGTGGCATCTTTTTCACCATACTTATGTAAGTTATGAAAATATTCAATGATGTGTAAAAGTAGTTAGTAAATATTGCTAAATTTCAGATTCGAATTGGTGGCAAGAAGTATGGAGATTTTGATAAAAATGCGTTCCATGGAAAGTTATCGTGTCTTCAGTTATATAATGTATCACTAACCGAACTCCAAGTAGAGATTATCCAACACTATTGCATTGGTAAGTACAATATATCCAATAATGAATTTTCATCCATCTTTATTTGGTGTTTCTAAAGACACAGTTGTGAAAGGAAAATGACTCGTTAATTTTAAAACTGGCTTGTGAAAAAGCTTACTGACGTTTCGGACATTACTCCTTCGTCGGAATAAATTGATTTTTCAGAAGGATCCAACTGGGTCTCAGACCCAGAGTCTGTTGTTCTAAATAACTGTTCTTGTACGAATTTTTCCTGGGAAAGCTAGGGATTTTGGAGAAGGGAGGCCATCAGACAATCGCTGGTAGAAAGTAGAATCGGTAGTTGTTTATACTTCCAAATGATCAAAACGTGAGCAAGATGTTCTGATAAATCGAGCTTCAAACCCACCTTTTGAAAGCATAAACGCTGTATAATTCTTTCCAATTCCGGTCTTTCAGATGCCTTCAAAATTTGCGTGAATCACAAATCCATTGATGTCCCTGATCGACAACTGAGCAAGAGGGAAGCTGTTCATCCTCCAGACAAAACTACCATCGATTTCACCCAATGGTATAGACTTACAGGGAAAAGGATTCTTTCATTCTGTCCGACGTCAAGCTCCTGTGGGACCCAGACTCCAGGATGGCTTAAAGGTCTATATCCCACGACGGAGGACGGGATCAAAACAATGGAATTGTGCTATCGTAAAGAGTCTGATTGTTGTGCCTTCAAAGTCAGTGTGCTTGTGAGGCAGTGTTATGGACATTACGTGTTCAAGTTTCATGACTTTCCGGTTGAAGGCCGATTTTGCACAGAACCAGGTTAGACTGACAACAAGAATTTGAATGATAAGKGTGTACTAGTTGAATGAA